GAACAACACCCATATTGCTAGTTCCCCTTTTTTTTAAATTTCCTTTATTTTCAAACCTTGTTTTGGCTCGTAATCACTCACTTAGCAAGACAGCTTTGCTCATGTTTCCCCTCAGTAAGAAAAGGAGCTATACAGGGGTCTCGAACTCCAGTCCTCAAGGGCCAGTGTCCCTGCTGCAACACATCTGAATACAACTAGTAGGTCATTAGCAAGACTCTATAGACCTTGACTGCATGCTGAGGTGGCGACCCCTGACCCTGCTCAAGTAATGTAATTCTAACAATGCTTTTATTGCACCGTGTTCATTCAGTCATGAGCTGCTGTAACATGAATCAAATGGCTGAATTGCCACCTCAGCATGAGTCTTGCTGAGTCTTGCTAATGACCTACTAATTGTATCCAGCTGCAGCAGAGACACATGGAAAAGTTGCAGGACAGCAGCCCTCGAGGACTGGAGAACCCTGAGCTATACCTTGGAGACGCGTCTTTGCAAAGACCGGGAACACATCAGCCCATAGTGATAATCAAACAAACATAGACTAAGTCATTATGAAAGAACATGATTAATATTTGATAGCACAGGTGACGCTCTGTAATTGGCTGTGGGCTCTGTGTGTTCCAGGTGGAGGAGTGTCACCTGCCTGGTTTGGGTGTGGCTCTCACTCTGGATTATAAACCAGATGCAGCAGATGAGGCAGTCAGTCCTCTTGTGTCTTACGTCAGCGGACTGCTGCTCGGCACCAATAGCAAAGTCCGTACGTGGTTCAGTATGTTCATTCGCAATGGACAACAGGTAACAGGTTTACTCTCGTATTTCCTGACAACACATAAACAGTCTCTCCTTCAGGTGCAAGAGGTGGACCACCCAAAATGTCCTCGACATGTTGGATTGTTCCTGTGATGTTCTTAAAGAACAGACAGGAATACAAACACTCGCTGACATTCAAAATGAGATCCTGGTGGGAGCATCTCTCTTGTATTACTCGGTGTTCAGCGCTCGAGTTGGATTGCCCCAAATTTAAGCTAACATTCAATATCACAGCAGATATAAAGGAGATCACGAGTCTGTCTATCTGCTGGCATTTCTTGCAGTTTATGGAGCGCAGACACGCTTTAGTCAGCTTTTCACTGTAAACGTCATCATTTGTTTAAATTTCCCTTTCATAAAATGTTGGGTTTTTAGGCGATAAAGCTCCCTCTGAGGAGGAACGGAGCTTCTGCTCGGCATTGGACAAATGTCCTAAAATGTTCCTCTGCGTTTATTTCATTTGTAATTTTTTCATAAGTATTTCCTGGCAAGTTGCTGCTCATGCAACGAGTCAGTTAATGATCATAATTATCAGATTTGTAAATGAACTTGGGCAAACTTTTACCAAGGCCCAGCGGTGGAAGCATGAAAGTTAAACGGTGTCCTCTCCTCACTCGATCCTGCCAGCGTAAGAGGGAAAGCAGCTCAGTGCTGTGGCAAATGCGCAGACAGCTGCTGCTCGAGCTCGTCGCCATCCTGCCGCGTTCGCGCAGCACCCATGTGCCCAATAATGGCGACATGGAGGAGGAAGGAGGCTCGGGGTACTCTGGCCTCAGAGAGGAGCACGTGGTGAAGGCCAGCGCCCTGCTCCGACTGTACTGCGCCCTCATGGGTATTGCAGGTCTCAGGTCAGTCAAAGGTCATGATAGCTTTTGTTACATTTGATTTTATTATCAATATTTAATGCACTAAATGTAACAATGTATTTTAATCGCTGTGTTTCCTTCCAGACCTACAGATGAGGAAGCAGAGCAACTACTGCAGCTGATGACCAGCCGGCCTCCTGCCACTCCTGCTGGCGTTCGCTTTGTCTCCTTGTCCTTCTGCAAACTGCTGGCCTTTCCTACTCTAGTCAGGTACATAAAGTTTATTGACTCTTACTTTTAGATGTCAGCCAACACAAACAGGCCAGGGATCACAAGCTCTTTTTAGCTGCCAGTGGTCTTGAATTTTGATTTGCCCGCTGCTTACCAAAAAGCCCCGTCGGTGTTTTTTGGCATTAATAGTATTCTCTTTATATGTTGACTGAGCATTATCCTCTGTGTGCCTGTGCAGCACTCCAGAGCAAGAACAACTGATGGTCATGTGGCTCAGCTGGATGATCAAAGAGGAGGAATACTTTGAAAGGTAACAATAAAAAGACACGACGCAAAAGATTAGAGAGTAAAATTCATCACAGGAAGCTGTCACACGTCACTGTTTATTGTGACACACACGTTATTGTACTGATTTTATATGTCGTAAGCTTTAAATGTTCATCACATCAGCTGTAATAGGATGATGTCTTTACAGAATTAGTCTATAATGCAACATAAACCCATATGTTAGATCCAGTATTAGTGTTCTGTGCTGATCCTGTCTATGCTGTGAAACATATTATACACAGCTACTGTTGGTGGTGACCTCCTTTCATATGAAGAAGCAGCAGATTTGTTTTAAAACAATTTAATTTTTTTTAAATTAATTTCAGGAAGTAGAGCCAGCACCATTCACAGAGTTTGGTGTCGGTATAAGAAAAAGGTGCTGAGCTCTTTACCTGTCAGCTTCCTCGCCAGTTTTGATTGGTTGTAACTGGTGCTGACATCGACTGGTATATATCTGACATACATAGATAGCTGTGTGGTGTCTTTTCTACTCCTGCCATCTCAGGTATTATTTTTAAACAACCACAGCATACTTGTCCTAGAAATATGAATTGCTAACCAGCTACGGCTAAAACCAAAGCTGCCTGTAGGCTTATCACAGATTTCTGTTTGGGCCCGTTCAGTGTCTTTTTCATGAGATCCAGGATCGCAGACATGGACATCCGAGGGGACTTTAAAGTCAAGAACCTCATTTTGAAAATTGGACATTATTAGTCAGTTACATTAGTCATGTGCATCTCCAAGTTTGGCCTGTTGTTGTTGCTCCAGTGCTGATGATGCAAGTGACAAGCATCAGTGGATTCACGCCGGATTTGAACATTTCTTTAATTCAGCTCTGATAGATTTCAGTGCCAGATGAAGAGGGATGAATAAGGAAGGGCAGATAATCTAAGGATGCCTATACACACGCTGTTTCCTTGCCCCTTGACCAAGTGACCGAGGAAACAAAAAACGTTCCCAGAAGAAGTTGAAAGTATTAAATCATCTTTATGTATTGAACTCGTTCCTTGGAGATTTGTTTTTCCTGTGTGAAGTCTATGACCTGTTTCAGCTCCTTCAGCTTTGAATATGAATCCGTGTTTTTGTGACTCCATAAAGCATAAATCTGACAGGTTTGTCTGACTAACCTGAAGGCTGTGAGAGGAAGGTTCGGGTGTGTGTGGGCTGATGTAACGGTCATAATCACTTTTATTTAAATTCTGTCCTGCAACATGAAGGCTTAGCGACAAACCTAAATGTCTTTTCTCACTTGCCTGTGTGTTTGTCTTCCTCCTTACAGCGCCGCAGGCGTATCTGCTTCTTTTGGAGAGATGCTATTACTGGTTGCCATGTATTTCCATAGCAACCAGCTCAGCTCCATTATTGAGTTGGTGTGCTCTACTTTGGGGATGAAGGTAAGGTGGGAGGGAGGCAGTGATCAATACATCAGTCTGGCTGACCAGCCACTGGCCCCTTCTTCTGCTGCAGCAGTGGTGCATATAAAGACTGTATCACTAATGAAACCTTTGCAGCATACACGTATCCAGCTAGCTGCTCTATACCCTGCAGCCAGTTTTCAGTGTTATTACTTATTAAGTGCACTATTGTTTCTTGTCTGTGTGCTAAGTAGTTTCCCTGTCTCACTGTATTTCCCACTAAGATGTGTAATGTAATTGGATTTAGAGCCTGTTTGTTTCCACCCCCAGGGCAATCCTCTCAGTTCAGTGTTGTGCTTGCCATGTAGAATTTTTCTTATGAAATATGAAAAGAGGGAATTACAAAATAACAGCGCTGCTGCCTACAGGCTGTTTTCACTCACAGCGAGCCTGCCACTCTGGATGTTTGTCATAGTTTTTGTGTAATTCCTGCAGATTGCCATCAAGCCCAGCTCACTGAGCAAGATGAAGACCATCTTCACACAGGAGATCTTCACTGAACAGGTGTGTATGTATATTACAAGTCCATCATTGTGTATTGTTACTGGGCAACCACCGTTTTTGTCAGTGATTTGATTTAGATCAACACCTCCATCCTTTCAGGTTTCACTGTTTACTATCAGACCAATGGGGGGCGGGGCTGCTGAAACCTTTTTCATAGGAAGCACAGAAAGTTTTGACTTTGATATCTTTAGGTTATCACTGCTTGACGTTGGCAAACAGAGTTTTCACACCAGTATAGACTGTTAGCATCACACACATCTGTCTGTGTCATGGGGTCAGCTTCTTAAACAGTGTTATTAGAGAGATCGGACACCTCGTGAGTCTTGAACCAGTAAATCCCATAATGGCAACGATGGTTGGACAGTTTTAACCCTATTTTGTAGCAAAACCTTTTAAACTGTTTTTTCAGATTCAATTTGATATTAAAGTTAGGAGCTACCTTTGGCTGCTCCCTTATTTCCCAAGGATCGGCATATTTGATTTGGCACACATTTGATGCCCTTTGCTCTTAATGATGCTGCCCTCCCATTTATCTGGCATTGGGACTAGGAGTGCACTTGGCTGGGGTTCATCTCCTAACAGAATTAAATTAACCATCATTCACATATATGGTGAATGTGTTAACCAATTCAATTCAATTCAATTTTATTTATATAGCGCCAAATCACAACAAAAGTCGCCTCAAGGTGCTTCATAGATACAGAGAAAAACCCAACAATCATATGACCCCCTATGAGCAGCACTTTGG